GAAGACGCCGAAAGCATTAACACGGTGGATGACGTGGCGCCTGTCTTTTTTCTGCATATGTCGGCTTTTTTCTCCCCATTTACGATTCATAACACTGGAATCAATCTAATGAAATGCAGACGTTTACTCAATACGCTGAGTTTTTGAGAATTAGTATAAACCTTGTAAAGCAAGGCATAAAAGCCCACTGAGATGCGGAACCTTAATACAGCTAAGATAGAGCAAGTTATTTTTGGATACATCCCATTGGTAAGAATGATGTCCATGGGCAGATTTTTTGACAATGTGCTGCAAGGTTTACCAGAGTTTGGTAGTGTAGGTCTTAGTTAGTTACTGCAAGCAGCTGTATGAGCTGTGAGACCAGGTGTCGCTGTAAACCGTAAAATACCTTAATTACCGTCATTACCTTCTTTGTCCACTTCTTTACGTTCAATGCAGCTTTCGGCGATGTCTTTCAGAAATACCGCAAGAAGGAGCGGTAAAGGGGATTCTGTTGGAAGTTTGTTTGTGGCCGAGGAACAATATTAGGACAATGTGAAGATCACTCAGAAATCAACTATTTGGGTTGAGAACAAAATAAGTTACGTTTAAGCAGGCAAGGAACTGGAGCATCACTGGGCTTGCTACCGGCCACTGGTGTTACTGACTTTACACACCAGTGCCTTGACCGAATTTGGACAGGTTGTATGCACAAAGTCCATCCTGGCTGTCAGCTATTTGCTTACACCAACAAGATGAATGCTTGTTGCTTTCGGATTGTGGTAATCCTGCTGCACGTAGTTCGTCAACCGTACCGGTTGCACCTGATGCTATGGGAACATATTGACCCGTTGATACGGTAGTTGTGTTTACACTGCTACATGACTGACGCCCTTGCCAAGAGGGACTCTTACCCACCGCCACAGATGGACGATTTATTAGGCACGCTGAACAGAGCCAAAAGACTCAGTATCCTGGACCTTACGTCTGGCAACTGACAGGTAAAAAACGATTCTGGGAAACATCTGCACACTGCATCTAATCAGACCCGTACAATGCCCTTTGGATAAACAAATGCTTCAGCCACATTTCAGCGTCGTGCGAACTGAAATATTACCCAAAAGGACGCATGTGGGTGCTGTCCTGGAACAGAACAGAACGGAAGAGGAACACTTGCAAAAGTTGTCCAATATCTTAGCGAAAATCTAAGGCTTTGATCCTCAACTTATGCAACCAGTACTAAAAGTACTACCGCCCGAAATAACTTTCCCTGATTTTGTGATATAAAGAGACGGGATGCACTGTGATCCGAATAACATCGTGCTACGCAGTTTAGCTAAAAAACATTTTGTCGGCTGGGCACGTACGTGCGTTTTATGAGACCGCTGCCCCCCGCACTGGTGCAGAAAAATATCAGTTTCAGCTGGACGGAGAAATTCGACGAATCGTTTTGGTGCTTCCGACTGGTCCTAAGTTTTCTCGATCTTTTCTCATTCAGTGGAGAGATTTTAATTTCGGACACTGATTCCACTGGCATATTTGACGGCGCAGTCATATTCAGGAAGCTGGCCAATGAACAAAAGAATGTGATTTTAATATAGAACAAATACAAGAGAAGTGGTGTTTTGCACTGGATAATAGGTCTGCTGGATTTTATGCAAAAATTGTCTAATTAAATACTGTTCCCTCTCGCTGGTCGGTTTGTAGGGCTGTAGAATTTCAAAACTTCTCACGTGTAGATTGCCCGTTGGGAGACTATGCGGCCATATGACCACTCGTTTTCAATATAGACCAGTAAGGTGCCACTGTAACGCAGATACGTAGTCAAGTACCTACACAATGAACCAAGATTATCGTATTTCGCCTGCCGCTGGACCGGTGGCTCAGGGCCGTATGCAGAGGGATACTGCGGGCGATTGAGCTGGACCCCAATCGAGTGAAGCTGATATCGCGAAGATTTATCTGAAGGTCGAAAATAGGGATGAGGAACAGTCCGATAAACTTAAAGAAATACTCGTGGAGCCTCTGATTACATTCACATGAAGTCGGTAGTGCTCTGCTGTTTCGTTAGGATCCAAAATAGCCGATGAATTTTACCTTTGATGCATGTTGTTGGGTCTGCGGGGTGTGTATTATTCACATTCACATTACTCTCGTTTGAACAGTTGTCCTCCTGTCCTGGCGCAATTATTCTTTTGGATCTACACCAAAGGGGGGGCACACTGAACTCGAATTCCGTTCCTATTTGAGCTCATCAGCAGTGCATATCAAATGGTCGTGCCGGGGCTTGCGTCCTCCTGTCTGGCGCAATTATTCTTTTGGATCTACACCAAAGGGGGGGCACACTGAACTCGAATTCCGTTCCTATTTGAGCTCATCAGCAGTGCATATCAAATGGTCGTGCCGGGGCTTGCACTACGGACACCTGACAGGCAAGGCGAGCGTGTTACCACTACTCCACCAGCCCACGTTGGACGCATCTGAATTCTCACATCTGAACGGGTTGACGTGTCCACGCCCCCCGCCAAAATTGCATCAAGTACTATAAACTGGACATGACAAACAGCGAAATACACCCATTTGTAAACAAATTTAGTTTTGCGAGGGGCTCACCTGGAACCCAGCTGGATCTCTCGTTTAGGATGTTTTTAAACAACTGAATGAGATGCACCAGGCCGTCTCATGTTTCAGTTGGTACGATATCGAGTTATCCCGACACATGTGTAGACGTAATACACTGCATATAAGGATGTTGGATACGCCTTAACAACCCACGACCGGTTTCGCTCTTATCTTGTTTCAGCTGGGTTCCAAGTGCGTCTCCTGTAAAACCCAACTGGCTTGCAAATAAGTCTACTCCACTAATTTCGTGCAATTTGGGTTCATGTAGGACACAAGGTTGATGGGATCTAGGGGGCTGCGCCTTCCTGATGAGCCTCATGAAGGATGAAACCGGTCATGTTCGTATTACGGAGATGGCTAACTTCAACAAATTTGAGTGTAAACGAGAAACTTGCAAAGCCCGAAAGAAGATGAATTTCTAGGCTCAACCAAAATGTACCAAAAATTGTTGGCTAGTCAAGAATGATGATTTCGTTCCATAGTGAGATAGTCAGTTGTGTACATAAAATGTTCCATCCGTAGGTTGTGTAACCGTCCTACGGTTTTTGCATTAAGCGACGGCAACTTTTGTGTATTTCGCAACTGTTCCAGTCGTCGTAAGCTGATTTCAAGCATGTGGCCCATTGCTAACCACAGATGTATACTGTCAAGCTTGAACACAAAGATACAATTCGACCCCCTTACATCGTAACTTAAAGAGACAGCCACTGGTGAGTGTAACGGAGCAATGGAACCCTCCTTTCTTTCTTGTGCTTCGACCAACCTTCAGTGGTACGCGCATCCTCATCTTGTCTAAGTTTGTTAGTAGGATTCGTCTTGTAGCCATTCAAGGTATTAAGTCATACTACGTGCATTTACACACATGAGCAACTGGATCGTAACTTTTGCAACTATGGATGGATTACTACAAAAACGGCTTAACTCCTCCACTCAAAAGAGTATCGGATGGATAGTAATTACCCCAGCAAAAAGAAGATATTTTTGCATTGATCATTTTTAGCGATGAAAATTACAGAGTTCTCAAGTTGACTACTTTATGGCAAATTTTTATTCTTAGCTGTACCAATGATGGACAGAAAAGTTATCATTAGTTTCAAGGTTTAGTAACTACAAGCTGATCTAAGGTACCCTTTTACAAACAAGATGTCTCACCATGGGAATTACTACACTACCTTCGTTTGCTTTTGTATCCTGGGATGCTCTTTATCTAAGTTGAGAGTTGGGCAGTTTGTTTCTTCCTGCGACTCACAACTCATTAAGGAGCTAAAGTCAACCTCACAATTACGGCTCTTTTTCCGCGCCTACTGCTGGAGAAGTTATAAAACTGTCAACCACGATGATACCAGTTAGCACGTGATTTCTGACGACAAAAGATTATGTGGCTTTTTGGTGAACAAGTTTTTGACATATTCATCAGTCACCCGAAACTTTCAGACGTCAGCTGCCAGTTTTTTCTCCATTGTTGATTCAAATCCATAGGCTCAGATCGTTTTTGGTCGCCTTTGCCTATTTTTGTACCCTAGGAATATGCCTATCCCACAATGCAAATACGCTGACGACAGTATGTCAAGGGCTATAAATTAGTGCCAGTTAAAATTCAGCCGGTCAGGTGAATGTTAGTTATACTTAATTCTTAGAATTTTTAAGATATTTCCTGTATGTTACATTCTAACAAAGTCACTAGTTAGTAGATAAGTCAATAGGTCAATACCCAACCAAATATTTATACTTCCAAAAGTTGCGAAATTGCGGACTAAGGACTATATTCCGCTGTGTTAATCTATTGCTGAGTGTTTTAGTAAAGTGTACTGAAATTATATAACCGCTGCTTTCTCCTAACTTGCTGTCACTAAAAAGCCAGTCGACCTGCAGCGATATTAAATGGTATAAAACGACTACATGAACGGTAATCATAGTGTACACAATTAGAGGTAGTTGGCCGGTCGCTGTCCGAAAGTTGACAAATGAAACACCCACTAAGTCTATTCCTACATATGTAAGCGACCCGTGCTCAGAGTGGATCACAATAGGGACCTCATGCAACCCCTCCCCCCCCCGAACAAGCGAAGAATATACACTGAACTAGTTTCTGCATTGTCTTCATAATGGTGTAAAAAATTGATACATAAAATTATCAAATTGAAAAATAGAAAAAACATCGTAACCTTGATGACATTATGAAGCATCGAAAACACCGAAAGCTCCTCACACGATCAATCGAAAATGACCAAAACGAAAAGAAAATCGATGTCAGTATGACGAATGCAAAAGAACTCAATGAACATAGAATACACGTCTGTTCATTGATGTGACGTACAAAATTTTGTTTGTTCCGAAGCTGAATGTGTAAAATCGAGGTAATTAGTGGGTGAAGGAAGAACGATGTACGAAAGACATACCGATCCGCGAATAAGTCAGTTCGAATGCACATATTGAGGTTGGACTGACAGGTGATTAACGAATGAACCTAAGAAAGTATACCGAGAATTCTCTCAAACTCCATAGTCAAAACAATGACGCGAGATGGATGGTTTATCTGGAACAATACGCATACATGCACAAAACCTGAGAAACTTCTGTTACGCCTAGTTTGTTTATTCTCAGGATGGAGATGCGGATCGATTTGACCTTGGTCTTGACCCAGTCGAAAGCCTGTCTGGGGTATTGTGCCCATTTTGTGCGGAAATTTCCTCAACTGCCGGTTGTATTGTACTTTGCGAAGGTGAGTTGGTGCTGGCGGCCAGGAAAGCGGTGATTAGGGTAGCCGCGTTCAAACTGACGGCGACAGCAGTGGGAAGTTGAATACCACATGTAGATGAGCAGGAAGAAGGACAGGATGAACCAGTCGTGGTGCCGTCGGTCACAACATTTAGGCAAGAGGCGTCCGTACAACTGCTCTCAAACGTACTACAGCTCCAATGACTACTTGTGTTAGTCGAAATGCTGGCGTGACTTAAACTCCGGCTCCGACTGGGCTCTCGTCTGTGTTGGCTCCAGTCAGTAACTCTCAAACGAGCTGCTTCAATTTCTGCTTCCAGCTGACCCAAGTTTGTCCTTAGTTGACGGTAGGTTTCAATCAGGTATTGTTGTTGGTCGAGCCAGCGGACTTGTGGGCCGGTCGATCCTTCAGTGCGGTTCACAATCATTTCAGGCATACTGAGTGAACAAGAAAATTGCAGAAAATCCATTAAGTGGTAATCGCTTATTCGAAAACGTACAAACTACTTTGCCTTACGGTTTTCATAAACTTTCTGGGTGGCATACTATAGTATGGATGAATAATATAATGACCTGAACGTTAGAGCAAATAGACTCCGAGGCGTGCTTTGGGCAATATCTCTTTTGAAACAATAACAGCAAAGAGAGACACATGTTTCTAATCTCATGACTAGTCATAAAAATAGTTCGGCGTCCATGGAGATGGCACCGAGAGTTTGTTACTCCGAGCGACAATCAGATTCCCGCATTGTGGTGTGCCGGATATAAAACAGCCTTGTTAATCTCCAAGTCAGGGGAAGCTTTATCACTTTTTGATATGATGTATTGTTCCACTTGGGTGCACTCTATTTTCCATGTGATTTTGGGGACAGCTTGAGTGTACAGGTGATGGCGCCTGACAGGAATGTCCTGAACGGTTAGTTAGCAAGGAGTGCATTTGTCATAGGCAGCTAAGTTCTGAAAACAAGTTTTGTGCTCAGAAGAAATCACATCATTATGGTTAAATAGGTAGCCTCCTAAAATTTCCCGATACAGAGTCTAGTTACTCGTATAACTTGAGAGATTTCTGGTACAAGTCCCTAGTCTTGCAGAAGTTCCCTGAATCGTTCATTGATATTTACTCTCTCGTACCATGATGACTGATATAATTGTGTACGGGGTTGCAGGTATGGCAGAGGTACCCCGGAACACCATTACATAATTTGCGAACAAAATCAGAATTGGAGTATGTAACCAAGTCCTAATCTCAACCTACTTTGGGGAACTCATTTAGAATGGTATCAGTGACAAGGTGATTGGGGCCTATGCAATCACCATTTGAACCCTTTCTAGGAAACAAAGTGCACTGTGCATGTTTAACATCAGACTGTGTATAAACAACGTGAGGATATGTCCACCTGCCGCGAAATCCAGGGCTACAAATGTGAGAGGTTACATGAAAACAGGTGAGTCCATAGCATGTCGGTAATCGAATGGAGCCACAGGTCACCCCGGTTGCATAAACACAATGTGTTCGATGGAACTTATGAAAGTTTACTCACGTGGAAACGTGAATGCATTCTACATTCTCAGCTTGTGCAATATCATCCGACTCGTTATCAAATAAAATCTCGGTTACGCGAACATTTGCTGTTATATTATATCCAAATTTGCAGATAACTCTAGAGACTGCGGTAGAAAAAGTTATCTGGACACTATTCTCAAACTCCGAATTTCGACATAGCCAAATGGAAATGGATATCGATATGCAACCAACTGGACTCATCGCAATTCAATTAAAATCGCGGTAACTCGCGTGAAGTTCAACAGGACCTTCAGGTGAAAATCGATCAATAGATTTCTTTTACGTAATTTATTTATAGCATTTCCTATCTAGCCTTGTAAACCAGTTCAAGCGCTCCAGCTAGGCATCCCTCTAGAACACAGCCAACATATGGTACGTAGGCTGAACCAATGCCAGATGGCTGAGGCACAGACAAAGATACCACAAGGCATTTAGAATTTAAGAACCGGGAAAACTGCTACCAACTAATGCACTCATTTTAGGAGAGTTTAATTATTACTATTTCTTTCCCAACGGAATCCTGAAGCCAGATAAAGGGGTTCTATTCATGGAGAGTTTTTCTTTCTTTTAGAGTATGAAAGTATACTTATCCAAAGAATGGATAATACATCTATAAGCTTGGGAATGAAAATGAAAGTTTATGACTGGTCCGGATGCCTGCATTTGAAAAAAAACTGTGGTAACCAATACTACTTAACTGCTGACATGGAGGTTCACTTGGAGCATTTTCAGTATACAGCTGTTCCCTCTATTTCTGTTCACTCAAAAGTCAATCTGGGTGCCAATTTTTTATTACTTATCCCAACCAAATTCTGTCCAAAATTTTACACACAGCCAAGCTAGAAGTACTCCGTCTTTGTTTTGTCATCTCGTATAACTGGTCCGGAGCCTGCATTTGAAAAAAAACTGTGGTAACCAATACTACTTAACTGCTGACATGGAGGTTCACTTGGAGCATTTTCAGTATACAGCTGTTCCCTCTATTTCTGTTCACTCAAAAGTCAATCTGGGTGCCAATTTTTTATTACTTATCCCAACCAAATTCTGTCCAAAATTTTACACACAGCCAAGCTAGAAGTACTCCGTCTTTGTTTTGTCATCTCGTATAAGTTCACTTTCTTGAATGAAGAAATTTAACAATTCACAAAAAATGCACCTGCTATTATCTTACTTAATTAGGTAACTTAATAGCTGAATTACGAGGTATGCTTCCACATATGGTGAGCCGTTATCTCATTCCCAAATCCAGAGGACCGCACAGGAATTCAGTGATGTTAATCTATCTTGCTTCAATGTAATGCGAACTTGCACAGGACCATCTACAAAAGATTCCTGCTTATGTACTCCACCATTAATCAGGTAGTTCGGTCGGATGAAGACTCTTCCGACAAAGACGTTTTCCGTTATCAACTTAAAAGTTTCCAGACCTCGGGCGAATGCGCAGCTCGTACTGTAATTTGTTCCCTACCATGAATTACCAGAAAAAAAGAATCACAGAGCTTGTAAACCCCTCTCGCAGGACGCCAATCCTCGGGACTGGCATAAATCTTGCTCTTCTTGGGAGTGCACTGTTTTGAAGGCACACAATTGCATTTACCCCTCCCCATTATAGGGAGAATCACATTGAGGAATTGTTCTACTTATTTGTTGAGTAACGGAAGAAAAATCAAGTATCTTTGTTATCAGCTGCCTTGTCGGATCGATTTGCTAGCGCTTCATTCGAACTGTTTTTACTTTGACAAGGCAACAAGTAAACAAAATGCCGAAAGATTCCGAACGATTTCAGTGCATTTTTTGGTTTTTATCATTTCTATGGCAGACTGTCCCCCGCTCTCCACTTATTGAAGTGGTTTTGTTTCTGTTATTTTTGCGTCAGTTGTTCTGTAGTTCGGCATACGGTCTCACCAGAGGGCATTCTGCAACCTTATTATGATGTAAAACTCATCGTCTCTAGAATTGAAGTATGAATTTCTCCCAGATACCTTTTTCCGGTGTACTTGCAATAATCCTAAAAAAATGCGACACTTTCAAAAACAGTCTTATCGAGTGTTAGTTATGATTGTGTACTCAAGCTGATTTATCCACAAAGTACACCCGGTACGGTTTGCTTTTGACTTCGGCCGTAAAACATTTACGTGATCTGCAGGCTTTGTAAAACAAAATAATCCTAATCATACTTTGATGCATTTCTGAACAGGGTGAACAGTCCGGAAATTCTATAAGCCAGACACTAATCTCTCAATCCGAACAGTATGGTCGCGCTGATTTAATGGAAACATTGAAATAATTGCATCCAAATTAAATCAAACCAATCAAATCGAATGGCCACATGTTATTATTTGTCTAAATGAGCTATGGAGCTCACTTTTAGAGTTTGCACGAAAGGTATTCGGCACTCTAGTGACCAGTTTGGTGTCTTCTCGAGGGCAGTGTGCGTATAGTGCTGCAAAAATTATGGACCGTACCGTTTGGCTCGGCCTCTAGAAAAGCATTCCCTTTGGAAGTGTTTTCTTGAGAAGGGGCAGGTCGGGTCACTCTCACTGATCGAAGGATTCAGGGTTGCGTAATTCACTTGTACGTGTAAGTTACACTTTTTGTTTACTCTTTTTACCATTCAGTTCAAACGAAATTCAGCACGCGGCAGGTTGGCACAGATAGACAGCTTGCAACACTGTCAGCCGAGGACACGCACGCACACAAGTCTTCATGACACAGAAGAATTTCACGGGAGGTAAATGTACTAAATAAGCCGGCTATGGATTCGTACGTAAAAGTCAAATGAGCGTTTCGATAACTGACGTCACCTTAGGGGAATAAGAGTGAACAAATAAAAAACATTGTGTGCATCTAAAATTTGATTTTAACGTGAAAACTGCTGCGTCATTAGGGGGCAAAACGTAACCAATACGTTCAAAAAAGGACAACCCAGATTTTTTCAGCATCTCCTATCAAATGATTCATTCAGTATATCATAAAAGGACGTCCGCTGACTCAGGTGAACAGCAGGAAGATAAACCTTGACTTTATTTTCCCACATTGTCCATAATCCAGTGGAGCAGAATCCAGTTTTACACATTTTGAAAACGACGTCAGCTAACGCAAAGCTGGTGACTGTTTTTCTCGTTGTGGTCAGGACAAAAGAAGTACTTGTGTGGACAGATAAGTCATTTTGGACTCTAATTTGCTTCCTGTTTTTGTTTACTTTTCCTTCTGGTTTCCACGGACATTACAGCATAACTAAAAACAATCGATGGACATCTCTCCTAGAAACTTTAAGGCCATAGGTGCACTTCACCGGATGGACTTCTAGGTTTTGTCATCGAAACCCAAACTGTTAAAAAAACCAGATGCCATGAGTACAAACTAATTACCATACGACTGGGATGATCCGGTGCTAACCTCGTATGTACTTTGCAGCTAGCGTTCTTGACGTTGCACAAAGAAACTCACGGTCATGTAAGCTTTGGGAGACTGATGCCCTTACCTAAGTCTCAACTTCAGCAACAATAAGTTTCCGTACATGATTCTGCTTACTGTTCGTGATTTGCTAGCATCATATTGACCACAAAGTGGGAAAGAATGGACCTTGGATTTTTTTCATGACTAGCATTGGATTGTATGGATCGTGGCAAGAATCAATACAAGGGGCTTACTTACGAAATAAGTGGCCAGAACGGCCTTGAAAATAGAAAACAATCAGGAGAGCACGAGGCGGCAGAATGTTGAGGGAGCTGCTGCCAGAATGATCAGACTGACGCAACATAGCAAGATAAACTTCAAATAAATCACCAAGAGGACAAGCAACCTGCCAGGCTACAAGCACCTTGTTTCGGGTCGGACCTGAGTATGCCATAAGGTATGAACTCCCCCCCC